ACCTAACCCTAAACCTAACCCTAAACCTAACCCTAAATCTAACCCTTAACCTAACCCAACTTAGTCGGGCACGGTTTAGTCGAGCGCGGTTCTGTGGGTGAACCGTCAGCCACAGTTCAAAGCAGCCTTCCATAGGTTTCAGAGTTGCAAGCTACAATGTGGTCATTCTGCAATGAATTAAGAACAGATTTCAGCCACCAGCAACCTCTGTCTGCTGGAGAATCACTGAAAACATGGGCGGAGAGGGAAGAATTAAAAAAACAACATAGTTTTAGCAGAGGGGAAAGTAACACGTGTCCGGTTTATTACTACATTGAAGAAAACCCAAATATCTATCATTTATTTGCATTTGCAGAGGTGGAAAAATAAACCTTTCCTATACTTAAGGACAGCTGTCTGGGTATTTGGCTACCATTATAATTCCCACATGGCCTTTTAGCACTTTCCACAGATTTTGAACCAGAAGGAAAAGGCTGCTTAGAAGGAGAATGCCAGAATAGGATTAGGACTGTTTTATTTATTCATTTCTTATAAACTCTGTCTGGAGAATTTAAAACTCACATGAAAATGCAGACATTCACCAAGATTCTCTGGTTTAATCTCAAGAAGGCAATTTGGACAAAATTACTGGGCCTTGAAAATAAGACTGCAGTATAGATAATTGGATTCCACTGAAGTGATTTTTAAAAAGGTCAAAAATTCCAGGACAACTGGCAATCCATATGTAACACACAAAAGACACTAAAGAATGACATAGATTTGATGATGGAATGGAAAGTGTTTTCCCTGCTATACATTTCTATCTTGCATTCGTGGTCCCCTTATTCGTTATCCATTTTTATGTACTATTCTATATTTCTCTGTAAACCGCTTAGAGAGGGCTGAAAGCCCTATGAAGCGGTATATAAGTCTAACTGCTACTGCTAATTGCAATATAATTAGCTTTTATTTACCTTTGAGTTCTATTAAAAGCATATTTAATGTACATAGATACATTTAGTTTTTTGTTTTAATTATGTCACAAACATTATTGCAAAGGATGGAGATTCAAAATATTGCTTCAACTTCAAATCTATTCTGAGTTCCCACTAATGTTTTGGAAGACTTAAAAAGATTGTTCAGAAAGGCACCCAAGTTACAGAGTTACAGTGAAAGAGGGGGAAATGTCTCATCTCTGGTTATAAATTTCTCTATTCACTCTACTATATGACGCCTGATATTTTATACAACATCAATTATGGAGGAAGCTCCATTGAATACTGGTAGTCTTGACTTACGACCATAGTTGGGGCAAGAATTTCCATGGCTAAGGAAGATAGTTGTTAAGTGATTCGCTCCCAATTTTACCTTTTTTTGCAATGATTGCTAAGTGAATCATGAGGGTATTTGGTGAATCATGAGGATGTTAAGTGAATCCATTGATTTTGCTGGTTGGGAACCAACTGAGAAAGTCACAAATGCCCTCAAGATGCTGCAACCATCATTAATACATGCTGGGTGCCAAGTGTCCAAATTTTGATCACATGACTGTAGGGATGCTGCAACCGTTATAATAGCAATAGCAATAGCACTAAGACTTATATACCGCTTCATAGGGCTTTCAGCCCTCTCTAAGCAGTTTACAGAGTCAGCAT